AGGGTCCACATGGATCACGCACATATCAAAGATAGGGGATTGTTGTTAGTATTAGTGGACTCATATTCAGGGTGGCCAAAGGTTGCCAGAGTAAAGGACAGAAAAGCCACCACAATAAAGTAAGTACGAAGAACTATATTCTCAAGGAATGTAGTACCCCAGACGATGGTCACCGACAATACACCCGAATTTTGCGATGAGAACTTATATGCATGGTTAAAACCGATTGGATGATCACCACCACCGTATCACCCACAATCTAATGGCACCCGGAATCTAATGGTGCAAACGGCGAAAATGTGATTAAAAGCATTCTCACTGGTTAAGCATAGAAGCATATCTACCAAAAATGCTTCTCAGTTAGAGATCCATTCTGCATGCAGGAAAAAACTGAACCCTTCGCCATTAATGAGAAGACAAATCGGAGCTTGCATAACTATGTCTTTTTCGACGAATGAAAAGCTATGGTATAGAAAGAATAAAGAGGCTGATCCAAAAGAAGGAAATTTCCTGATACAAAAAGGACACACGGCTATACTGGAGAAAAAGGGACAAAATATACTGGCACGTGCAGATCAATTCAGAAGCAGAAACGAACTGGATGACGTAGAAATGGAAGATCAAAATCAAGAAGAGACAGAAAGTCACAAAAGTGGAATAGAGCAAGAAATGGAAGAAAGTGAGAATGAAAAGACGGACGAGAGTGAAGAAAATGAAGAAAGACCAAGATCACCATTAAAGAGGAAACAAGAGGAAGGACAGCACAGTACGAGAATAATAAGGAATAGTAAAAGAAAAAAACAAGGGTATACGCCCTCTCCGAAACAGGGAGATGTAGTCAGTCAGTTAAGCCCTCGCCTGTACAGAAGATAATTTTAGGGTAGGCACTGTGAAGAGAATATGCCTCTCGGACACTATAGAAAAACACAATTTCTTGAAAGGAAATGGGTTGAGGGGTGGAAATCATTCATCCCAATATATGTTTGTAAGGATATTATCCCTAATTTAACAAACATTTATCGAATAGAAGTCCAAAATTAAGGAATCAGAACATTTTCCATGGAAATAGCGATAGAATAGCAAGAGGCTTGCCACATTTCGTCTGTGGGAAAGGGGTTGTAGGGTGGAAAATAATTCACCTTTTGAACGCTTTTGGGTCTTATAAAAACTGGAAAGTGAAAACTGAGCAGGTCCTATCCATATATAGCAGCGGAACAGCATTTTCGGCCTGTCCTGGCTCTTGTAAAGGTAGAGCATAGCAGGAGGAATCAGATACTTACTGGAACGGTACAGGTAACCGACCATTTTTCCAACATCTTTAGCGATGTATAGTATACATGAGTTCCACTTGAAATCTTGATTGAGCTTAAGTCTCAACAGACGTTTTCATAACCTGAGCCACTGAGACGAAACTCAACAAACACACATTAAAAAAAAATGAAAACAAAAAACAAAGAAACCGTAACGCTGGTCAGGGGGAGGGGGAAAACGGGTGCTATATCTTAGGCAAAGATCATCTGCACGTAATAGTGGTTCGGTGTAGCCTAATTTTGTCCCCTAGTCAAGTCTCCCTTGTCGGTTATAGCTTTAGGTCATACCTAAGACCCTCTTTCCTTAAGTAGGTAACTGAGTCTTACCTTATCATGACGGTCTCCCGTGGCCTAATAGGTAAGAGCATACTTCTGCAGGAGTGGTTTACCTGTTGGAAAAAAGTAGTACAGGTTTATTGTTAAAAACGAAACAAAAAAAACTGGTATTTCAACACAAACATATTTACCAACTAAAAATAAAGTTTATCTTAAGACCTCAACTTATAAACCATTTTTTAAAAAATACTACATAAACATTAAATTTCCTCAATTTTTACTTTGATGTAACTTCATTCAAATTCACTCTTGAGGAAATATATAAATTGCAACCATAATTTGCGAATACCGCAGTAAACCCATAAATATCGACGTAAAGAAAGAAAGAAAGAAAAAAAGAAAGAAAAAAAGAACATATGATCAGACTAAAAAAAAAAAAAGATTGAAGCGATAAAGCAGATTCTTGTTAGAATTTTTTTAATCGTTTCACCCCAAGCAAAGCGATAATGCAACTAGAACGCAGTATACGAAGAAAGAAAGAAAAAATGAAAGAAAGAAAAAATTTTTAAAAAGAAAGAAAGGAAAATAGATAAAGAAAGAAAATAGGAAGACAGAAAGATTAGAGGGAAAGACAAAACCGAAGAAAAAAAATAAAGAACTTTTGTTGCCTCTTTGTTGAATAAGGAAAAAAAACTAAACGTTAGTTAGAGGAAAGACAAAACCGAAAAAAAAAATTATATATATATTTAATTATTTATATATACCCCAATATATATATATTTGTAATACGGTTGATGTATATATATATATATATATATATATATATATATATATATATGATTACCCCAAGGATAAGTTAGTTGATGTAAGGGATTCTTAGGATAGTTATGTAGCCTCGAATTTCTAATGCTTGGATTCTTTACTATAATTCTGATGTCCATGTCAAAGTTTAACAAATGTATAGAAAGACTGAGAAAGCCAATGCACGCAACAGTCTAATCTTTGATTTAAAGCAGACGTTCTTATATTTCTAGATGGTTCTTAATATTATAACAGATGCCATTGCAAATGCATCCAAGACCCGAAAAAAGTAAGGTTATCTCCAGTGAATTGAGAAGATGGTACATGAACTCGATATCTAAAAGCATCAGTTTTTACTTGACGTTTTGTGAAGTATAAAATTTTGAATTATTTTGCAGCAAGATAAAATATTTTTCTGTTCACTACTGCTGACCAAAATGATTGCAATCTTAAAGACATCAGTTCCAAACCAGTAAGCCTTTTCCGATATTGAAAATCTCTCAAACTGGTGATTTCGATTATACTTTCCGAATAAATAATTAGGCAACAATCCTTTTTTCAAACATGTTTTTTCGAAAAGAACGGACAAGACTCGTAAAGTTTTTGGTGAGTTTCTCCTGGTTGCGAATAATTGATGTAGGGACCTCCGGATTTTGGCATAAATTTTCGATACCTAAGGTTTAAAATTAAATTTTTTCTACTTTTTGAAAGTTTAGTAATTAAATTTATTATTTCCATTAGGTAAAATATTCTGGAGAATTTCAGATAGAAATTATATAGATCGGAATATCAAATTTAATTTTGATTTCTTATTTTTTAGTTTTAAGAAATTTGTAAACAAAACAAGTTTTTCTATTTTAAAATTCTTTCAAAAAAATAAATATTATTTCTGACACATTATTTTAGTAAAATTAGAAAATTTAAAGTTAAATTAATCTGATTTGAAATAAATATTACTTACTTATAACATAAAAATAATATACAACCGATTATTAACGATTGGTCCTGTTCATCTGATCAAACGTTTGATGGATTAACCCGGACCGATGACAGCTACTATGGGTCAGAAAAGTGAACGCATATTTTTTTTTTTCACTACCTAGCTTTTTACAAATGAACATATTTTCTGCAATTACTTAATATTTTATTGACTTTTATTTACCTTTCAAAGATGCAAAAATAAAAAAAAATAAAATACTATAAAATTTTCTTCAATTAATTTTAAAATTTAATAACAAATGAAATACCATGATTACTCAATTGAAGCATGTCCCACACTAATGTAAATACATAAAATAAAAATATTTAGCGAAAAAGTAACTGAAAAAAGTAAAACTTAGTTTAAGCTTTAAACTTTTAAAGCTGGTTAGAAATTTTGAAAATCTTTTGAAACGTAACTGAAGGGACATAATAAAGAGACAAATCTTTTAGATCATAATAATGGCAATTTCAGTCTACCGTACATGAAAATAATGAATGTATTAAGTAAAAAAAAATACAAAATAAAAAATTATTTTAAAAATAGAATAGCACAACTAAGTTTATTCTTTTCAATTTTGGATTTGTAAATTTTGTTTCCACTTAATTACTATATCACATCCAGGAAATAGCCCAATACAGAATTTTACACGATTTTAAACTATTATAAATTATTATAATTAAAATAAAAACAGTGAAAACATTCTTGTAAAACTTCATTATTCGTCAGAAAAATTTTATTTCTTCAGACAATAATGTCCTTAATATTACTTATTTAAAAGCTTTTCTAATTAAGTAATAGCATAGTTTTATTGGATTCATTATTTTTCAATTCAGAGCAGATTTTCAGTTAGATAGCTCAAATTTGGAAAAAAAAGTAGGTGATTTACTATCTCCAAGGACTCCTACTTTTAACAAAAAATTTCATGAGATAGAAAGGTTTTGTGCAAAATTAAGTAAGTGGGGGGGGACATATTTTTAAAAAAATATATTTTTACGAAAAGTTTCTAAAAAAAAACATTTAAAAAATAATTTCATTTCATAAGTCCTGAAAATTTCATTAAAATCGGACAAATACTTGATTTTTACAAGAATTTCCAAATCAATGTGTTTTCAACGGATAATAAAAGTGCAAAAAAAAAAAAAAAACAAAAAACAATGTTATTTTCTGCCACCGCGATGACGTAAACGAATGAAGATTTAACCAAAATTTTGAACGTGTTAGAAAGGATTAAAAAAATTCAAAAAATAATTAAAAAATACTTTAGTCTTTCATTTTAATAATAACAAACATTTTGACGATAAAACTTTATTTTCGTTAAGTTTGTGGCCTTTTTCATTAAGCTATCTGTTTTCCCGCGAAAAAGTGGAGGAGCCTGAATCGTTTTCTACACCTTATCAACCCTTTGTAGGTTATTAAAGCCAAAAAATATTTTTAGATTGTAAGATATTTTTTTTAGATAATAATGGTTTAGATATATAAGTCTTACTAATTAACCCGGAGCTGGGAGAGAAAAGGTGGATTCATAGTTTTCCCAAGAGTATTTACGCACAGGTGAATATAACGAACTGGAATTGGAACTCGGCTCTCCAATTAATAACTCCATTATCCTTTACAGCACTGGCACATTTAAGCTTACAGCACCTGGTATTCCCAAGCAGTCACCCATCTAAGTACTGACCAGACTAGACGTTGCTTAACTTCGGCGATCTTACGGGAACCGGTGTTTCAATGAGATGTGCTTTCGAATAAGTCGTCTGATGTCGGGTGGAAATTTTTAAAGAGACTTGCCGAAATTATGTGTCATGTTCCAAGTACTTACTACCATCGTTTTGAAGAAAAGAAGGTTGAAGTCGAAATTAGTTCACTTGAGATTTTATACTGCTAACAGCCCGGCGTTAGAAACGGGCATAGGTTCCATGCTTTTGGTAGTTGAATAGGTTATAGCGTCACGCGACAAAAAAATGACCTTATGGTTGAAAGGCATTTTAACACGTACGCCCTGAGATTGAAACGGATTTTCTAGACGTTAGGTTGCTGTCTTTTGATGTGAAAGGCAACCAAATTTACTGCTTTATACAAAGTCACATATTGAGCGTTAAAAGTGGAGGTAATTCTTTAGGTTGTTTTCATATAACTGCTTCTATTAAGAGAAGATCGTATAATCTCTGTCACTAATTCGTTTTTAAATTTAAGACTTTAAAATTTGTAGACCTGTGCAGTAACCATTGAGTTACATTTATAAATCATTACTAACATGTTTAATAAGAATCTAAGATCGCAAAATATGACTATAATGGACCAAAAAAGTTGACATTTAACAGACGAAAAAGTACAAAATAAAGTAAATAAAATAAATAATTACTGTCAGTCAGTAAATGCACAAAATTGAAAGGGGAACACGACAAGGAGGTGTGAGAAAATTAAATAAAATCAATAAATGAAATAATAATAATAATAATAATAATAATAATAATAATAAAATAAAAAAATAATTTCCCCATAATGCTAGTAGTAAAGGAACTAGAAAAATGATTACGCCACTTGACTTCGTCAAACGCCGTTAGGTGGCGCTATTGAAGGTTATAAAAAAAATTGAGCGCGACTATTATAACGATGTTTATACTTACTCTAACTCTAGGGACCAAAATGAAAACGGATATACCCAAAAGACATTTAGAACTTTGTTTCACTACAGTTTATATAAAACAGTGAATAAACGGTCCGTAGTAGAAATCCCAAAATTTTTATGCTTCTCTTTTAATTGTTTACATAAAGACACACGCACATAAAATATACCAGCAAGCAACCTTTTAAATTCCATCGATCGTAAAAGAACGAGAAGTACTACCAAGATTCATTATTGGTGGTCATAATCTTAACAACATATATATCGGAAAAATAAATTGGAAGTTGACGCCTGCAATATCGAACGTTTACTGGACGATAATACTAGAAATAACAAAAGGTGGGGAATTGTTAGTGTAATATCGTGAAATTTCTCCCGCTCTGGAGCAAGCGACAACAGGTCCGATATGAAGGTTAACTATGTTGTGGGGGCTGAGCCCTAACTAATTTATATTTACGCAAAATACCGCAAAATATGAAGCAATAAGTAGAATCATTCAACAAGAGAAGTTGCACAATATTTTCATGACAGATTCTGTTTTATCCTCTTATCAAATATTGCTTAATATTTTGCCTCATTTTGCATTCGGGATCACCAATTTGTAGCGAGTTGAACGGCCTCGATTCAATCCGTACTATTTTTACTTTACTAATGTGCTAATAAAGAATAAGCAAACAAGAAGAATAACATTCAAGAAGAAAATTTGCTTAAGTAAAAGGAATTTATATGCATAACAATAATTATACAAAGAATAATTCAGTTGTGTTTGAAATACTGAAATTTACTTTTTCTTTTGATAAACTGTGATGTGTACTAAAAAAGTGTGTACGTTTAGAGAATTTTAGTAAGATGTATTATTACTTGTAAGAGAATTAATCAGTTTGTTACTCACATTGTTATGTTAAGTGTTTCTGTCCTTGTGGTTGAAGGAGTGAATGTTCGATGTTCGTAGATGTTCTTTAATGTGCGACGTTCGTACGTACGTGTGTGCGTGTGTTTCATAGTGTTTTCCCCAAAGGGAGAAACGCAACCTCTCTACTGAACTACATTGCTGTGGGTCTGAGAAGACAAGGAGAAAAGAGAGAGGGCGAAGATGTGGCCAAGTATTTATAATTAATGTGATAGGCTCGAGAACACATAACCAGATTTTGGCGGTAAATTGACTTTGAGCACAACTGCGTAGGCGTTGTAATTTTTTTCACATATATTAGCTAATCAGAAGTATGGGAATTATTCAAGGCTTCTGTGATCCACTTTGGTGTTTAGTTTGTACAAAAACTGCCGTCGAAAGAAACTATTACATAAAAAATGCATTGAAGTCTTTTTCGATCAATAGTATTCGCCGAATCGAAAATAATAATAATATAATACAATCAAGTGGTAGCAGAATGCTAAAATGTAAACAAAACAGTGACGAAAACAAGCGACAAGCGACCGATGATTATAAAAATAAGAGAAACTTTATTTACAGTTTAACCAACAGTAGACAACAAAAAAATAGTACTGAACTTTTGTGTAATGTCGGCCCTCTTTTATAGCAAGTGAATGCTGGACAATCTTCTCACAGATGAGGAAACTTGAGGCAACAGAAATGCAGCTCTACAGGAGAATACCGAGAATACCATATAAGTAACGCGGAAGTTATAAGGGAAATGGAAGCAAAAATCAAAAAAACACATTTTTGAATCAGAAAGAGAAAAGTGAAATTTCTAGCGCATATAATGAGAAAAGAAGGATTGGAGAATTTAACACCCGTAGGACATACTGGGGGGAATAGCATCGAATAACCCAACTAGCGAGTTGGCAGAATAGGGATTAGGAGAGAATGTAAAAGATAAAACTTACTCAGATCTACAAAGGATAGGACATCGCGGAGAGGCATGAACGCCACGTCCTGAAGGGATATGGCACAAAGAAGGAGGGATAGAAAATAATTTGAGACTGCAACATATTTTTCTTTTAACTTCTTTTATATGCCGTGTCCCTTCAGGCCGTGGATAATTATTTTTTAATTTACCATAACCAATTAAAATACCCAATGAATCTAACGTGTCACTTTTAAACATGTTTCTATTTTTCTTTTTATTGTTTTTTAATATATTTTGTAACCTTATCTCCCCAGAATAAAAAAAAAAATCTACCCAGAATAAAAAAAAATGCGTCTTGGTGTTCTGGTGCAGCTTTGGCATTGTCTGAATGTAATTTTTTTTATTATATATATTTTTTTTGGGTTTAAAACGTCACCATTATCCCTCAACGGGATTGTAATCTCATAAAATCATATATGAGGTACGACGAAATAAGCATATGTCCTTTAAAAGTTTATTCAGAAATCATTGTATATTTTAACGAACATATGTCGCAGCCACCGCTGGCCACTCCTAAAAAAAAACAAATAGGACGACCTTGACCTTCGCAACCCTACTACTCCCAAAATTTAATCAGCAGTTAATTAGCAATTAAATAACTATCCTGATATATTTTGAGTTAGAAACATACCGTTAAAAGGGAGTGTTAACCACCATACGTACAGCATATGGAGTATTTTTACATTTAGCGTTTTCTACTCCCACCCGGGGGCTAGGATCAGTGTGTAGTATCTGTGCGATGCCTTTTGATATCCCTGGTGCTCCCTTGAGGGATACCTTTTGTTATGACCCCTCTTTCTGCGGTTGATCCGCCCTGGAAGATGTATCATCTCAACGACTCGGCCCTGTTTAGGGAGGAAGTTCACATCCCGCAGATGGAATATCTCTGACGACTCTCCCGAAACGTTGAAGATTTTGGTCTATTTCCGTTCCCAAATACCCTATTATTTTGGAAATTAATGTGCAGACTCAATAGTATGTACGTAGAACCATGAATTTCATAATTTGAATCATTTTGGTGAAGATTTGCTGGTGAATATTGATTTTATTTGGAATACTTTTTCATTTTTAGTGATATTTTCCTGAAATTTGGTCTATTTCCGCATGTTTCGGTCCGGCTCCATCCCAAAAATTTTCAAAAAGTTGACCCATTTCCTTCTATTTGGACACAAATGAGTGGAATTAAACACTTTCCAACATCTTTTTTAAAATTTGGTTTCTATAGCCCACTCCTAATATTGATGTAAAATTCTAAATGAACACGAATCTTATTTTTGGCACATCTTAAACTGAGACATAACTAATGGGAGTGACTGAGAAAATGATATTTTGAATCTTTGTTCTATTAACGTTGCATTGCATTTCCAAGCCTCAAATTTTCTTCTACTAATATGCACCGTGTCCCTTCAGGACGTGAGCGATTATGACTCTCCACAACTCCCTGTACTTTGTATTATTTAGTAAATTTCTTTTTAGTGTTGCTCATAACCTCTGTTCTGCAAACTATTTACATAACCTCGTTAGGTAGGATATGCCCAGTTTTCTGTTCCTTTTGCCATCAATGTCTTGTGAGTGTCACGTTTTCTAATCCCATTTTCCTTATTATGTGTCTCGGAAACCTCAACTGTCTTTTTCTGATTCTAAGTATAAGTGTCCCTTTTGTTTACATTTTCTCTAAAAAGTCGTCGTCACTCACATGTTCAATATTGTCAGTCGCCTTCTGTAGAACCGCGTTTCTTTTGCCTCAAGTCTATTTTGGCAAAATTTTGAACAACGCAGGGTAAATTCTCGAGACTTATTTCAAAAGAATTTTTTTTAAAAATTGTCTTAAATGTCTGGAAGTATGGTATATGTAATAAACTGAAATGTCACTCCATTTGAATATTTATTTTTAACTTACTTTAGGGGTATAAAGATTAACGATTTAAAATGTGAGGCAAATAGAACGAAAGTGGGATAAATTTTCTTTTTAATTTATTTTTTTTATATACTAAGGACTATACTATTCTAAGAAATGAAAATAACAACCTCCCAGTTTTGAAATAAGCGATGGGAGTATCTGCCGGGGTGGTAAAATTAGGGCAGAATTTGGTTTATTTCAATGAAGTAATAAATAAAAATCCATTACATTTTTAGAAATTGCTTTGTCTACGTTTCGAAAACGTTAGAAACTGGATAATTATGAACTTTTGAAGATCTGAACGAAGAAAAATGTGCTTAAAAGGCAAAATAGAAC